TGCAGTGGGAAAATATAGCTTCAGAACAATTATAAATGCATCACCAGAGACCGCAGATGCCAGTAAGGATTTGGAAGCATTAAATCACTAAATCATAGTTCTCTACCCGCCAGAAATTACTTAACTCAAAATTGAAGTCCATTCAATTAAAAAAAATGAACTCGACTCTACACAAGGTAGTTCATAACGTTTTACATGCGAGTCCTTTGAAGGTTAAGATATCAGCCATGTCTCAGTGGTAGTACACTCAATATTTGGACAGAATGTTAAAGGGTCAAGTTCAACTAGAGATAAGGACACAGAAGTTATGCTGCAGGTATACAAAATCCAGCTCAGACCCCCCCCACTTGGACTACTGTGTATCGATCTTGGCATCACACTTCAGAAGGTTATATTGACCTTGGAGGAAGTACAATGTAGGTTTACAAGAATGACACCTGGACTTCGGGGGTTAAGTTTGAGGAGAGATTATACAAATTAGGCCTGTTTTCCCCAGAATTTAGAAGTTGGGAGTGATCTGATTGAGATCTTCAAGATAATAACAAAAAAGGACAGGGTGGATAAGGGTTGGAGATTGTGGAACTAGGGGGTATAGTATAAGTTAGGGCCAGACTGTTCAGGAGAGATATCACGAAGCATTTCTACACAGAAAGGGTAGTAGATGATTGAAATGATTGAAACTCTCTTTCGCAAATGCATAATGTTGAAGTTGGATCAGTTGTTAATTTTAAATCTAAGATAGATTCATTTTTGTTAAGTGAACATGTTAAAGGGAAATGGGCCAAAGGCAGGTATGTGGAGTTAGTGTATAGAACAGCCATGATGTCATAGAATGGCAGAACAGGCCCAAGGGGCTTAATGACCTGCTCCTGTTCCTATGTTCCTGAGCAATGACCAAGGCTGACATCCCAGTGTAATCATCAGGGAGTATTTGCACTGATGCTGTGTTGACTTTCAGATGAGGCACAAAACTAAGACTCTGCCTTTCACACAAAATATCCCTTGACACCATTCATAGAAGGAAAGGCTAGTTTTTCTGGTGATCTAAACAAAATTATTCCCTCAACCACTAACCGATTAAGTGGTTACTTAAGTCCTGTGTGTTTCTTCAACACTTCTATTTGAAAGCTGGTTACCCCTTTAAAGATTTTTCCAAAATTTGTAGCTTGTTGACTTGCTCGTTGAGTTAGCTTGTTCTCATTCAGTCTCTGCCACTCACTGCAACACGCCAGAACTACGCAGGAAAGAGTAAGAGCACCTATACAAAATTCTCGCTATAAACGGATATCCCCGCAACTTCATCCACAGGTACCTACTAAATAGACAACACCAAGAGGACACAGTACGCTCTAACACACAGGTCACACTGCCCTACATCAAGAACACATCAGAACTGACAACAGGACTCCTAAGACCACTAGGAATCACGGTAGCCCACAAGCCCACAGCCACGATACAACAAACACTCACGGATTAAAGACCCCATACCAACGACATGCAGAACCAAGGTAGTTTACAAAAAAAAAAACAACTATGCGACGACTGCCACAAACATTATATCGGACAGACAGGAAGGAAACTAACTATCAGAATACACAAACATCAACTAGCAGCAAAATGATATGATGAGCTTTCCCTAATATCAGTACGCTCAGACAATGAAGGCCATCAGTTTAATTGGGACAACGTAACCATAGTAGCCCAAGTCAAACATAGACACACACGGGCATTCCTAGAGGCATGGTTCTCAACCCACAATGCAATCAACAAACACATAGAATTGGACCCCATATACAAAACAGAACCGGAAATGACACTAATCACCATAACGGACCGGACAGTATAAATTCCAAGCAGAGTAGAACAACATTGCTTCATCAGAGGCCTCACTGAAGAGGTTACCTAGCATGGTGACGAAATGTCTGAATGAAAACAAGCTAGCTCAGTGAACAGGTCAACAACCTTAGTTGGGTACCTCATCTACAAGTGACTACACTTCAAAAGTAATTAATTCGTTTGAAAGATCCAGGGATCTACTTTGAAAACCATTATACAAGTGAAAAAAAGAGGAAATTTACTTGGAACTAGGACTTTAGAAGAGATGAAAAAGTCCCAATCCTCACCCAGTATACACACAAGTTATGTCACAGGCCAAGGCACACAATAAAAGGAAATTTTTATTCACCTTCAACTGTGAAGCCTCCCAATCAAGACCATAGCATTGTCAATTTTTATCATTCAGTTTGAAAACTTTTAAGCAATTTCAAATATTCCCATTTACCTGGATGAATGCAGCTCCAGAAAGCCAAAACAAAGCAACCCACCACCTTCAACATTCATTTCACTCACCATGGATGCAGGGTAGCAGCAGTGTACACCATCTTCAAGATGCACTGCAGAAATTCACCAAAACACCTTCCAAACTTGCAACCTGTACCACTTAGGACAGGGGCAGTAGATGTATGGGAACACCTGCAAATTCCTTTCCAAGCTACACACTATCATCAGACTTGGAAATATTCCTTCAGTGTCACGAGATCAAAATCTTGGAGCCCGCCACCCACCCACCAACCATCTTCTAACAGCACTGTACCTACATCAAATGGCCTGCAGGGGCTTAAGAAGAAAGTTGACAGCCATTTTCTCAAGAGTTACTACAGAGGGCAATAAATGCAGGTCCAGCCTGCAAAGCCCACATCCCATGGCCGAATTAAAAATATAGATTTCGATACAAAAGATCATTGCCCATCCTCCCTGTTTTAATAGGAGCTGTATATGTAAGTTATTATACTCATCATTGCAAAGAGACATAAAAACAAAACAAAAATGCAGGTTAGTTTGATCTTAGAGTAGGATAATGGGTCGGCACAACACTGTGGGCCGAAGGGCCTGTACTGTTCTATGTTCTTGTTCGATAAGTAGCAGCAGCAGAAGGCAATTCAGCTCCTTTATAATCTCATTTTGGCCTCACTCCACTTTTTATCTCCTCCTCAAATTTACTCAATGTCCCAGCATCCACCACACTCCAGCGTAGTGAATTCCACAGATTCATGACTCTTTGAAAGAACTAATTTCTCTTCATCGCCAGTTTAAATCTGCTACCCTCACCCTAAAACTATTACCTCTCACTTTAGATTGCCTCACAAGAGGAAACATCGTCTCTCCATCTACATTATCAATATCCCATTTAGCACCTAATTAGATCAATGAGAGCTCCTTATATTCTTGTAAATTCTAGAGTGCTTAGGTCTAAACTACTCAATTTCTCTTCAGAAAACAATTTGTCTTTCATATTACCTGCTGTACCTGCATACTAGTTTTCTGCAATTCATGCATGAGGATGTCCAAATCCTTCTGCACCAAAATTTATCTCCATTTATTTAATAAGTTGCCTTTTAATTCTTCCACCATAACAAATGGCCTCACACTTATCCACATTAAACTGTCTGCTAAATTTTAGCCCATTCACCAAACTTTTCATATCCAATTGTAAATTTCTTATTACTTTATTGCAACTTACCTATTTTAGTGTCGTCTGCAAATTTCACTATATTACCTTCAATCCCTGCATCCAAGACATTAATATAGATTGTAAATAGTTGGCACCTGTGAAACAAATCTTGTAGCACCCTACTAGTCACATCTTGTCTACCAGAAAAAGTTCCATTTATCCCAACTCTCTGCTTCCTAATGGTTAGCCAATCCTATTCAAGCTAATTAACCCTAACCCAATATGATCTTACCTTGCATATTAACCTTTGGTGCAGCACCTTATCAAATACCTTCTGGAAATATGACGTCCACAGGATCCCAATTATCCACTTTGCTTGTTACATCTTTGAAGAACTCCAACATGAGGATTTACCCTTCATAAAACCATGCTGATGCTGATGGATAGCATTGACTTTTCAAATGTCCTGTTACTCCTTTATTCATTAACGGGATGAGGGCATCACTGGCCAGGCAGCATTTATTGCTGATCCCTAATTACCCAGAGGGCAGTTCAGAGTCAACCACATTGCTGTGGGTCTGGAGTTACATGTAGGCCAGCCCAGGTAAAGAGTGCAGTTTCCTTCCCTAAAGGACTAGTGAAGCAGATGGGTTTTCTCGACAATCAACAGTGGATTTATGGTCATCATTAGGTTCTTAATTCCTGACATTTTATTGAATTACAAATTCCACCATCTGCTGTGGCAGGATTTGAACCCGGGTCCAGAATGTTATCTTGGTCTCTGGATTAATAGTCTAGCGATAATACCACTACACCATCGCCTCCCATATTACTTCCTTATGGATTCCACCAATTTCCCAATAACAGATGCTAAACTAACTGGTCTATAGTTTCCTATTTTTTGCCACCCTCTCTTTAACTAGACTAATAATCTAGGGGCCTAGGAATCTTTCAAAGCTGGGAGGACATGAGTTCAAATCCCCTATGGCAGGTTGTGGAATTTATACTCAATTAGGAAACAAAGTTACCCTTGGTAATGGTAGCCATAACAATAACTATTGCTGATAGGTTTTTTTTTCCAATCTGGCCCACTAATGCCCCTTAGAGAAGGAAATCTGTCATCCTTATCTGGTCTACCCTACAAGTGACTCCAAACAGCAAAATGGCTCAGTGGTTAGCACTGCTATCTCACAGTGCTAGGGACTTGGGTTCAATCCCAACCTTGAGTGACTGTGTGCTGTCTGCACATTCTTCCCATGTCTACACAGATGTGTAAAGATGTGCAGGTTGGGTGGATTAGACATGGGAAATGCAGGATAACAGGGGTGGATCTGGAGGAGATACTCTTTTGAAGGTCAGTGTTGACTCAATGGGCCAAACAGCCTGCTCCTGCACCATAGGGAACTATGAAACTTCCATAGCAATGTGGTTGATTCCTAACTGTCCTCGGAAATGGCCTAGCAAGCCACTGAGTTCATTGCAAATAGGAACAGGATGACCTGGCCAGTCACACACACAGACTGTGAAATAAATAAACATCTCAGTTGTGTTCTTGATTATATTGTTTATTTTTCTTAGGTATTGAATTTTCCATTAACATCATATGAAAACATGTAATCCATATCCCTCATTGGTCTGTTGCCAGTATAGCGTTTTGACATAATGATTAGGCAAATCCTTAAAATTACCCAGCATGTCCAGACTTTGTATTATTTCCACGTCAAATTTCAGGAAGCCCAGCTTATGTTCAACTCTAATCGTGAAAGGAAGCCTTTATATTGGAGAAAAGGCAAGGCTGCCGGACTTGAACAATTCAGTGAACATTCCTAAACTTGGCTGCTTCCATTTTGAACAATTACAAATTCATTTTGGAGGCAGTGCCTATACTTAGCACATTATTATCCTACCACAACCTTGATTTTGTAGCTGTACCATGGTTCAGCAGGTAAAAACATGGTCACAGGCATATAGACCCATATGCTTCTTGCTGAACTAAACAAAATGATCTCAACACATTCGGTAGGAAAGTTATAACTGGTCAAAGTACACTTTGATTTGGGAAGGAGGCACCAGAATTCTACAATATCACTGTAACTGGGCTTGTTCCAAGATAGCATCATAAAAGGAGAACATTTTTGGCAATGATGAGAATTACTTTCAGATACTTGTTTTCTTGGAAATATCCAAAAAATGCTATAACAATAACATCATTAAAAGCTGTGGAGATCTGATAATCCCACATTCCAAAATATCACTCAAGTCCTTGATTACAGGGGAAAAATAACAAATTCCAAAATAGACATTCTACAAATGAGTAATTTTCCTTCAAAATTCATAAGTGAATCAAGAACATGAAATCAGGTGATCCAATGCATTTTTCAAGAACACTTAAGACCATGCAAAGAATTATTGGGGCATCACAATGACTCAGTGGTTAGCACTATTGCCTTACAATGCCAGGGAACTGCATTCCTTGGGTGTCTGCGCGGAGTTTGCTTATTCTGCATGTTTCTGCCAGGTGCTCCAGTTTCCTCTCAATCCGAAGATGCGCAGGTTAGGTGGATTGACCATGCTAAATTGCTCTGTGGTGTCCAGAGCTTTACAGGCTAGGTGGATTAACCATAGTAAAATGAGAGGTCACAGGAATAGGTTAGGAAGCTCTTTGGACAGTCAGTGCAGAATCAATTAGGCGGAATGGCCCCTCCCTGCACTGTAGGGATTCTACTGTTTTCACCATCTATTTTCAGAATCTTGGGTACGGCTGTAGTCAGTTCAGAATATATTCATTAGCAACCTATTTTGGAATATAGGAAGTAGTCTTCAAAGGTTTCCACTTTATTGTTTCAAGTTGAAGCCATTATTTAACTGCCCTGCTTTAGATCGGGACAGTAGAGGCCAAACAATACAGGATCAATCATAGAAAGTGCTAGAGACAGTTAGTAGGACTGACAGCATTAGTGCAGAGAGAAACAGTTAATGTTTCAAGTCCAAAAGGATTGATCCTGTATTATTTGGTTTCTACTGTCCAGATGTATTCCAATATGACTTCTTTTGTAGAGTCATATCGGATGCAAAACATTAACTATTTCTCTCTCCACAGATGCTGCCAGATCTGCTGAGTTTCTCCAGCATTTTCTGTTTTTGTTTCAGATATCCAGCATCCACAGTACTTTGCTTTTAGGCAGAATCAATAACAACCAAAGCATATTTGTTATGACTTAATACAAAAATTGAGCGTCAAGAGCACCACAATGGCTTTTGGTCAAGAATACTAAAACACTCACCCCTCATAAATACAGTAATGTTTACCATATTTGTAATAAATATTTAAAACTTTACAATAAATCATGGTAACCTATCTGCATGTAATTCAAGTTGCAATAATAGTGTATTAGGGGCCACAGCTTATTGAAGGCAAAGGGACCAGTATTTAAGCTTTGATTTTTAGTTTGGTAAATATACAAAATATTAAAAGTACAATACAAAGTTATCAGATGCATTTGGATGATTTCAGTTTCTAATTACATTCTCCACATAAGAATATTAAAACTTTAAATTGTCATACAAGTAGGACTTGAGCAAAGAGAAATAGCCTACTATCAATAAACATCTAAAATTCAATGAAAAGTGCGGGACAGCATGCTAGGAGCTGCAATGGATGTACTTAGAACTGAGGTGTCAACCTGATGAAGGTACAAGGCAGGGCTACATGCATGCCAAACAGCCTAAGCAGCAAGTGATACACACGGCAAAGCAATTCCACATACAAAACATTGGATATAAGCTCTGTAGCTCTGCCACATCCAGTTGTGAATGGTGATGGACAATTCATTGGAGAAAGGCTTCACAAACATCCCCATCTGAAATAATGAAGGAGCCCAGCATATCAATTCATTTGCCATATTCTTCAGCCAAAAGTGCTAAATGTCCAATCCATCTTAGCCTCCTCCCCTGGAGGTCACTTGCATCACAGATGGCAGCCTTTAGCCAGTTTGATTTACTCCATACGATTAAATAAAACAGCTGGAGGTGTTAGAAACTGCAAGGGCCCTGCCATCATTTCAGCAATTATCTTGTGCTCTGGAACTTGAAGTCCTAGCCAAGCTGTTCCAGTATAACTGCAACACTGGCATCTACCAGATAACACGGAAAATTGCCCAGCTATGTCCTGTAAACAAACAGAAGGGCAAATTCAATCCAGCCAATCACTGCCCAACAGACTACACTCAGTATCAGTAAAGAGATGCAAGATGTCACCAACAGTACTTCCTCCGCATTAACCTGCATAGTTTGGATTCTACCAGGGTCACCTGGTTCCTGACTTCATTACAACTTGATTCAAACATTAACATAGAGCTGAATTCCAGAGGTGTGTGAGAATGACTGCCCTTGTATTTCAAGGCCATATTTAATTGACTGGAGCATCAAGGAGTCCTAGAAAAAACTTGAGTCAATGGGCGTCAGGGGAAAATCTCCCAAGTTGGTTGGAGTTATAGCTGGCACAAAGGTTGCTGGAGGTCAGTCATCTCAATTCCAGAATTTCTCATCCAGAGATCCTTGGGGTTAGTGAAATAGGTCATAATTCTAGATTCACAGGTTTCTAGAAGTTAAGTGAGGAAGCAAACGGCACACAACAGAAATTACTAGAAAAACTCAGGAGGCCTGGCAGCATCTGTGGAAAGAAAGCAAAGTAACATTTTGGGTCCACTGACCCTTCTTCAAAATTATGACACCCTCAGCCACAGTGTCTGTTTCAGGTGATCTTTTGCATGCTATTTCAATTAGGCAATGTTAATGCAGGGGTGAAAATTGAGGGCAATTACAAATAAGAATATGAATTTGTCAACATTTCCAAAGGATAATAGGACATTTTTTGTAAATCCAAGTGTCAACTTTTGCTTAGTAGTAATACAATTCTGAAAGATAGCGAAACAAAAAGTGCATTTTTATCATTTTTAATAAAAACATGTCTTTTTATTGCTAAGAGAAACAGCACATGAAAAAATGTAAGAGAACAATAAGCACCAGGGAAGAGTTACATATTAACTAGCACAATCAACTTCGCATTGCAATTTAAAAAACATACACTCTGCATTGGAAATCTCCCACAGATAAAGGTGAAATTTGTCAATCCCAAAATAGTTAGCAGTTATGAATATTTTTGTAAGAACATGAACATGACAGTACAAAAACAGCTAAAACATTTAAGCAGCAGTTAATATACACTCTCTAAGTACCCAGCTCGTTTGTCAATCTTCCCACTGTTGACTTCACTCTTTGGTACTATAACTGCTGACTAAAATGATGTTTTGTTTTTAACACTGACATTGGGAAATAGTTTACTTAACATCCATGAGTTAAAACTAGCCATGAAGTAAGAACACGTGCCACATAAAATTAAGAGTAAATAGCCTACTACAGATCTGACGGTTTTATCCAAGTTAATGTGGTTACTTTTTAAAATTCTGTGAACCCAGTCAAACATCCTTTTCAAAGGAAAAATGAAATATGGGCAGTTAAATTTGAATTTTTTTAAAGTCATTCTTACCACCGGTTACAAGTCATACATTAAAAAACATTTCAGTTGCAAACTTAAATAAGCCACTTAATAAATTTTGCTTTCGGTATTGAACAATAAGGAAGCAACCGATTACACAAACTGAAGCATTACTTCTCAGATTCATGAGCAGTAACAATACTGAATTTCAGAAAGATACAAGAAACAGGTGCTGGAGCTTCGAAGTACTGCAGTGATTTGTTGCTCCCAATTCTGGTCACCTGTTAGGTAAATATTAAATATTAGTCTGCAAAACTTCCAATCCTGTACACTTAATAAGTGATTCACTGTTACACATGAAAACTCATGACAACTGTAACTTGACCAGTGACACTCTTAACACCAGGAGCCAGTCTGCAAAGTTGTGAATGAAGCTGGAAATTGCAGACAAACCAAGTCATTGTTAACATGTGGTAAAAGATGTGTACAACTAATTTGCTGGTAAAGTTTACACATCATCCTCTTCCTCTTCATCTTGTGATGATCCTGCTTTGTTGACTGGATTAGCTGTGGCAGATGCTGCTAACTGTGCTTGCTGAGCTGCTTGCTGCATCTGTAACCATTCTTGCTGGGCTAATTCTGCCTGCTGCTGTCTGGCCTGTAAAAATAAGGGACACATGTAAATGTCTTTCACAGAAAATCTGGAGGCCTGCCAAATGACATTGAGGGTGAGACTAACATAAAGCACCTTCAACTATGCAGTCAATCTGCTTACAGAACAAAGTGGCAGGATGTGAGCAAGACCTTGTTTCATTGGCAAAATGACATTAAACCAGGACAAAAGAGACTACCTTTACCTCAAAACATGCTTGTGAACAAAGCAACAATGTTTAGAAAATATCAGCAAACAACCTGAACAAGAATGCTAATTGATCCAAAGAAAGTTTCTTTAAATTACTATTTTCGCAAACTCTGAATTTGACACCGGATATTCATATTTTCAGAAAGTTGTCATGCCATTTAGGTCACTTAGACCCAGACACAGGAGTTTGGTCTTCCTCCAGAGAATTAATGTTGTTTTTGATGAGTGCTGACACTTTCAGAATTGGCCAGCTAGATTTGAAGGGTTGAGGAGAGAGGGAAAATATAAGGAAAGGCAGATAAAATACTTTGAAACAAAAAACAGAAATTGCCGGAGAATCTCAGCAGGTCTGGCAGCATTAAAAGAATATTTGGTAAGAATTTGGGTTACCGTAAAGGATTCTCCATTTCAACCACTCCTCTCGCCTGAGTCATGGGACCCCTCAGGTTAAGCCACCACCAGTTATCACTGTCTCATGAGAGCAGCCCTATGGTCCAGTAGGACTTGGCAACTTTCCCTTTAATAGGAGTTTGATGAATGAGTGAGCATATGCATTTATGATAGGGCTTTCTAAGGTTTTGGAGTAGATTCATAGCTCGGATTGTGGGTGTTGAGGTTGGTTGGCTCGCCGAGCTGGTTTGTTGATAGCTGACTGATTAATTTGCTGCATTTCAATAGTTTTCAATACATATTAATTAACACTATTTCTCTGTGATAGGGTAATTTCTAAAAATATTCTTACTCGAGTTGATTTTTAATGAACAAGCGAGCAATGTACATGGCATAAATTCCCATTTGGACAATAGTGAAATTGAATTGAATGTAACGGATAGGGAACTTTTTTTTTTCCAAACTGTCTTCTTAGCTTGTCCAAAATAACCAGAATTTGCAACAGAATGGAACTTTCCAAAGCACTTCACAGAGAGTGGGGGGGGGGGGGCGCGGGGTGGTGGAGCACTGCTGCAAAACTATTTGAGAAGGTGACTGAAAAGATGGTTAAAGAACTTCAGTTTTCAGTGAGATAGCAAGTTGGGAAGAATACTTCAGAGCATGTAATTCTGCTCCTGTAAGTGGAATAGGTGGGGTGGGACGGTGATGCAAATGTGGCTGCAATCAAAAGGAACAAGAGATACACTATCCTAGCAATGAGAGCTGGAGGACATTACACTGACAAGGAGAGAAAAAGTCATGGACAGATAATTGAAAAGATCAAGAGTTCTGAATCTGAAGCACAAGGGCCAATGAGAGGCTGAGAAGAGGGAAGCAGTGAGAGGAGAACAGGAATGCACAGAGGAATTTGAGACAAGTTCCAGTTATATTCTACCGAAACTGCAAAACAAGGGAAGCATTTGCTCACTTATTCCACATGAGGGTTTCAGAAGTGAGGGAAGGAGGAGATTGGGAAAAATCCACAGGAAATTGGTAACCCATCCTGGGCCTGAGGTCAAAAGAATCAATACATACAGACAAAAGGTGTACAAAATGATCAGAGGTATAGACAGAGTGGATAGCCAGAGACTTTTTCATAGGGTGGAGGTAGCTATTACAAGGGGGCATAGTTTTAAAGTGAGTGGAGGTAGATATAGGGGAGATGTCAGAAGTAGGTTCTTTATTCAGAGTGGCAGGGGCGTGGAATGCATTGCCGGAGAGGGTAGTGGAGTCGGCCTCATTAGGGGCATTTAAGCAGCTAGTAGATAGGCATATGGACGATAGTATAAAGTACGGGTGGAAGTTAGATAGACCTTAGGTTTAGGTAAAAATTCATAGAACATAATTGTACAGCACAGTACAGGCCCTTCGGCCCACGGCACAACATCCTGGGCCGAAGGGTCTGTACTGTGTTGTACAGACCCTATGTTCTAAAACTGCAACTAACAGTACGAACTGCAGAACTCAGCAGCAATGCCTTTCACAATGACGTTATGATCTAATCACCATAAGCAATGTACTTAAACAGCTATATTAAACACGTATCCACCATCCTGATCTACCATCCCCAAGTCAACCTGATTTCAGTATCCTGGCTGAGAGATTTCAGCAAAGGACACATCCAAATAAAGCATTACAACAATAAAAACAAAACTAGACGTCACAGGTTTAGGGTGAGAGGGGTAAGATTTTAAAAGCTGAGGGGTAACTTTTTCACGCACAGGGTGGTATGTGTACGGAATAAGCTGCCAGAGGAAGTGGTGGATGCGGGTACAATTACAACATTTACAAGGCATCTGGATGGGTATATGAATAGGAAGGGTTCAGAGTGATATGAGCCAAATGATGGCAAATGGGACTAGTTCAGATTGGGATGTCCAGTCAGCATGGACAAATTGAACTGAAAGGTCTGTTTCCATGCTGTATGATTCTGTGACTCTAAATCACATTTGCAAGCATCTTGAGGTGTCTCAGAAGGCTTAACATTTTAATTCTTGTCAAACATCTTCAGGACCAGAAGATTCAAGTAATTGAGTTGACAGTGTGACAGTTGCTGTGACCAGTCCTAAAGATCCTACTTTGAAATAGCTCCAGAGGTCGGTATCCTGTCACCAACTCACCGTTTATTACACAAACAGTCCTTGATTATAATGCCTCATATATAGAGTCAGACACTAGAGTTTCAGAATCTCTGACATTCATCCTTTTTGTCTGTTAGCCAGGGTTTCCTGATTAGACCAGATTAATGGCCCTAATCAGGGACCTCAAATTCTGAGATCCAGCTGACTGACATTGTTATAATCACTACAGATTCAATTTGAAATCAAGAACTACAAATGTAGAATCAAAACAGAAAATCGAGTAGTTTTGTCAGTTCTTTGCAAGATTGGGCAGATGGGGATAAAGTGGTTGGTGGTGCTTTTGTCAAAGAACTATAATCCGACATGTCGCTACTTTTAATCAAGATACTTCCTGAAGACAAAAGAAATAGGAGTAAGAATAGGCCACTCAGCCCACTCTCAGGTGATACTGAAAAGCTTCAGTTGTATTTTAGCAAGTATATGAGAGTGAGGAACCAGCGCCAGCAGACATCTGCCAACATCATTTAAAATTCAGTGTGTTACTCAGGCTCTTTTCTTCTGATGGGAATAAATTTGTAGCTACTTATTCCAAATAAACTTGACACTGTAGCATTAGGTGATAACCATGACATCAGGCAATTCCAACACTCTAAAGCAAGTTGAAGAAAGCCACATTTGACAAAGATGCTGTTATTTTCTTTTTCTACTGTGTAGATGACAGCCCACCTCAAAGGGCATACTCCTGCACCAGATAATGGTACTGGTTAAATTGGACTGCTGTGACCTTTTTCTCAATTTATCTGAATCCAGGTTGCCCTAAATGGAGATAGTAGGAACTGCAGATGCTGGAGAATCCGAGACAACA